AGGGCTTTATGGGTGACAAGTAGCACCTTGAAACGTATCCGGAGATCGACAGGTAGCCAGTGCAGCTCGCGGAGGATAGGTGTTATGTAGGTGAAGCGAGGTGCACCCACAATGCACCAATTGCTTGCACCATCCTCATGAATCACTTCAGTCAACCTTATCATGATGCTTGGCAGTATATCATTCTCTGAACCCAATCTGTTCACACCAGGCAGTCTCATAAAGAATCCTACATTAGTTTTAAAACCTTTAAGTGTGATAGTTGATTGTCATATTTTTCCTGATTTCTTTTACATTATAAAATAGCTCCATGCCTAGCATATTGTCTCTCCAGCTATTCTCTATGATAGAATATTATATAGATTTTCGTTACATATATATAAATCATCATCATCGTCAAGCTTCTCTGTTATAGTTGAAATATATAGGTATCTCTTCTCCCCAAATTGTAGGATCTCCGCCAGGATCATATCTACTTTTTTTTTTTAAAAAAGAAAATATTACAGTATATGTCATGATGCATAAAGAAAACAAAAGAGAGAAGGAGAAATCCCAAGATTTTATTTGGCCCAATGCATTTCAGAAAATGTGTTCCTTTTTAAAAAAAAGTTTTTTTAAAAAATTTGCAATGGAATGGAGTTCCACTAAAAGGAGTTTATTTTTTCTGAAATGCCTCAGGGCATTTTTTCCTCATTTGTACCTGGAATTCTTCTTTCTCTCTTTTTATGTGTTTCTGTTTAAAATGCATTCTGGCAATTGCTGGTGACATGGTTTTAATGATTGTCAAAACAAAGAGCAGGATCCTTCCTTGTCCATATACAATTTTATATGTCCCGAATTGTTTAGCAAAACTCTGTTTTCAAACCACCTTCTGCTTGAAATGTTACTGTTCTTCCAACAGACAAAGAAATAAAACACTTGTGTTCCTAAAAAATTTTTCATAGGTGACTTGCAAAAATGGGGGTTTCCTCCCCCTGAATTTGTGTTTCACAACTTTGGAAAAAAATGAACGGGTGTTTGGAAATCTAAAACCTTTCCTTCCTACATTGGGCTCTATGCCTGCAAAAGAGATTTCCGGCTGGATGCTTTACTGGATGCTTTACATGAAAGCATCCAGACTATTCATGTTCTGCTCCATGAAGAATATCAGAAAGATGATCATTAAAGATATGAAGAAAAGCAGGCTTCTGGATAAGATAAGGCTAGTTGCTTCAAAGTTTATGGAATGCTGTCGCAACACACTGTGTCTGAGTGTAGGATAAAAGCTATCTGCAACAGAACTGTACAGTTCATTCTCTGGTTCTTCCTTTGGGACACAACCAGGAGTGGGCTGCTACAGGTTCGGCCGGGTTTGGGAGAACCTATAGCTAACATTATGGCTGGTTTGGAGAACCTCCAAATCCCACCCCTGGCTGGCCCCGCCCTATCTACCACACACACCCTGCCACCCCACCACATCCCTCACAGGAGTCTCCACACAACCTATTTTGGATGCGAAGTAAGTGCAGGGCCCACATGGAGGCTCGGGGAGGGGAAAAACGGCCCTTCTGGAAGGCCTCCAGAACCATGGGGAGGCAGTTTTTGCCCTCCCAGAGGCTCGAGGAAAGCCTCTGTAGTCTGGGGAAGGTGAAAACTCCCCCCCCACAGTGGTGCAGGAGGCTGAATGGGCCACACCCACCCAGCAACCCAGCAGAGAACGCATTGCTGAAATTTTTGAAGTCCACCCTTAGACACAACTGTCATGATCGCAGTATTCCACTATTTGATGAGCTGCCCCAAAGAAGAGGGGTTCAACTTATTTTCCAAAGGAGCAAAAGGCAAGACAAGAAACAATGGATGGAAAGTAATCAAGGAGAGAAACAACCTGGAATATTTAAGGATATTAAGGAATATTTAAACTTCCTAACAGTGAGGGCAATTAACCAGTGGAATGAATGGCTTTTCTTCAGAAGTTGTAGGTGCTTCATCACTGGAGGTCTTTAAGAAGAGACTGGACAGTCACTTGTCTGAAATATTATAGGTTCTCCTGCATCAGCAGGGGGGTTGGTCTAGAAGACCTCCAAGGTCCCTTCCAGCTCTATTCCGATGGGATTGCTCAGTATTCAATGTCACTCACGTCAGAAAACATTTAGCTAGCGTTAGAATCCTATAGAAAATTAGCTAGGGCTTTTTCTTACTGGGACATGGCAGCAGCAAATTCATCTGAATTCTTCGATTTCTTTAACAGAGCCTTTCCCTGGGCATCAATACCATACACCTCTTCGAGGATACACTGGTTCATCTTCAGGACAAAGTTATGGAGTTGTGGAACTTCCAGCTCAACCTGAAAACAGAGAAGTTTAAAGGTGTAAAGCACTGGTTATGAAGCCAATTAGTCTGGAATCATTTGGGCATATCGTGCAGGATGTTTTCAGAACAGCTACTGCCACTTTCCCGTGCAGCTGTGTACAGATGGCTGGGGATCCTGCTACTTAATTACTTAGCTGCAGTAATTAAGATGTTTAAAAGAGAGCAGTGGAATTAACCCCAGGGAAGGAGGGGAGCACCCATGGCCATTGCTGTACTAAATAAAATTAGGATTCAGGACTTCAGTTCATCAATCTGCTGGCATCGTTTGATATACATTAGATCATTTCCACAGTTTTGACTAGAATGCTATGCAGATCAGATGGGATTGTGATCAGAGAAATTGGCTATAGAGAGGAGTAGATTATACTTGTTATATATATATATATATTAAAAAAACAGAGAATGTCTCTAGCTTTAGCCAGAAAAGACTTGTTAGGAATAAACTTTAAACAGCTGTATTTTGTATGTAGCACATATGAGATCTAGAGGAGGGATCCCTAACCAGAGTTTGCTGCCATAGCCTGTTCAGATCTGGGCTGTGGAAGTGGTGGGTGAGTGTCAGAATATCCATAAAACTGGCAAAGACATGGTAACAAGGTCAGCCAATGTATAGGCATGACAACTGGGTCAGCCAGTGGGAACTATTTGGTGACAGAGAGCCATGCCAGATGGCTCGGAGCCCAGGCGTGGCTTACCTATGTAGCTGAGTCTGTGCAAGAGAACAAATCTAGTTTGCTCTCTGAATTGAAACTGAAAACTGATCTCTCCTTTCTACCACGTTGGAAGAATCTGCTGTTGGCATTGTACATTTATTCAGGTGTTATGATGTATACAAAGAAGTTAATGAATCCTGCTGAATCAGTGATCTCTGTGTGCTTTCTGGATTTGATTTTTTTGCGACAAACTCTGACAGTGAGCATGTGCGCAAAGCTGCATTTGTGAAAGGAGCACGTGTGTGAAACTGTGCCTTCTCTTCCACTGCCCCGCCCCTGCCACCTCTACCCATCCTCCAAATGGAAAGGATGGAGACCCCTGATCTCAAGTCATTAGCTAAAATCAGCCATTTAAACTCAATTACAATAACAACTATTAGGGTTTTTTTTTTGGTGGGGGGAGGCTTATGTTCTCTCTGCTATATGTGAATTCCCCATCTACTTGAACATAGTTTTAAGGTGCTGGTATGTTGAGAAGGATGTACAGCCTGATCATCCCCAAATATTTGACCCTACCCATTTCTTACCTTGCACTTAATTTTTGAGCCGCTGTGGGAATCTGCTGTTCCAGCCACGCCATTTGTGATTTCGGTTTCATAATCATAGATGTACTTTCTAAAGGGCTTAAATCTGGTTGCATCTCCTAGAAGACACAAGTATGTTTGTATGAATTTCCCCTTACCATTGTTTGGATTTCAATGATTGCAAAATAAGTGCAGTCTTTCATCTTATTATGCATTCTGAGTAAATAACTTATTCGCATAGAACTTATTTTTTTCCCCTGTCATTTATTTTCTCAGGACACTTTGAGATACTACAAACAATTCCGCGTAAAAAAAATGGTTACTTTGCCAGGGTACATCGGAATACATTCAAGACCAAATCTTATTCTGTGACACAAGTCATTGGATTAATTTGGAAATATAAACATATTTCTCCTTAATCTTTCTATTAGGTTCTCTTGAGGCTAAAATGATGTACAAATAATGTTTTGAGCTCTTTGGAGAGAGCACAAAGCTTAAAACAATAGTTACTTTCTATGATTATACCATGCATACATTTAAATGTAGACAGCATAGTGAGATGCATTGCAAAACAGTATTATCTTTTCTAGCTACCATGCCCCTGTTGGATCAGGATTATGGGAGTTGTATAACCATGATCATCTGGAACTACAATCTTTCACATGTATGCAGTGGTGGGATTCGGGAGAACTGGTTGTTAACTTTCTGAGCAATTTGGTGAACTGGTTGTTGGAAGAAATCATTAGGGCAGAAAAATGGTTGTTCAATTATTTGAATCCCACCACTGCATTTATGGTATTCATGATATACAGGGACAACTAAATGAAAACAATCAGCTGATGAGCATTACTATTTCAGTCCCCCTTAGTAGTGGTCTTGAAAAAAATAAGTTGACCAAGCATTCTTCGTCCTACATCTAAATATAATGTTGAATCATAAGCCTGCAAAAATCCCACTTCTTCCTCTTTCCCTTCTTTTGCAAAGCCACCATTACAAAGCTAATAAGATAAAACTGAAAAATCTGGACGATTTCTGTTTGATTGAAAGTGTGAGACTGCCATGTTGTCTGTAGATGGCGCCAAAGGGCAACGTTTGGAAAAACAAGGCTTATCAGGGGACAGAGAGCAAACAAACTCACAGGATACTTTGACCCTCCATGTAATCAGCCAAGCATTTAAGAATAAACAAGTTTTCCAGAGTTGCTCATAAGCACTTTCTGATCTTTGACTCTTGTGATTTTAATCTGCAAATTCTACTAATATTTCATTTTCAAGTCAATTTTCTCCTTCTGTCCTTTCCTTGCCATTCCCGTGTGTGTGTATTGCTGTTATGTGTGAAAACTTAAAAAAAAACCACAGATGCCAACATTTCCCAATTATAATTCTGGGAAATAAATTATTATGCAGCTTCCTTTATTCTGCCCTTCCTCCACAACCATCAAAATATATGCCAAAAGCCAAGTAAACTCTACTTGGAACATCAGAAGTACAACAATACTAGTTTATTTTCCAGCCCTATAGTATGTGAAGCTCAAATTCTTTCAGTTTTCTGAAGGCAAATTACTTGGATGGTCTGGGTAGAAATTGTACATCATTACTGTAATTATTTTAGAGGAAGAGGGTTTAATAGTGGAGGAAAAAAATCCTTTTGCAATCCACTGGACAAATAAAATAACCACCATATTAAACACAAGTGGATAGCTTTTGTTTTTTAAAAGTATTGCGGATACATTTACTTACTTGATTTTGTCACTCTCCCTATTCTCCCCCCATCCGCCCCAAATCTGAATCAGATTTTAAATACTGAAATATTATTTCAAAGAGTGTAAAGAATTTCTTCTACTATTAGCTTCCAAGTGATTGGTTAACTGATGATGGGCTAACAACTTGGCATTGATTCTTAGCGATGACATGGATTTAAGTTTTCTAAGAGTATCTGTTCTTCAGTTGGACCCTTCAGGCTGTGTTCCTCTACAGCCACCTTACTGAAGGTTATAAGTTCGATCCTAGGTAGAGGTAGATATAGGGTCTCCTGCTTGGCCAGGGGGTTGGACTAGATGACCTGCAAGGTCCCTTTCATCTCTGTTAATCTGTTACTTTTGCTGATCAGCCTTTTCTCTTCTCTTTCCTTCCTTTTCTACCACCATGGTGGGCTTCTCAAGGAAGCAGGGTGTTTGCTAAGGCCTCCAAAATATGAGAAGTCTGATTTATCCCATAATCCATTTGTTTCCTTGACTATCTTTCTCCTTCTTGTGCCTTATCTGTCATCGGACGTTGGTGATCATGATTATCTATGGGATTCTCAAAAATCTACTCTTGCATCAGAGTCATAAAGTGTCAGTATTTTTTCTGCCCTGCTTTCCAAAATCCAGGTTTGGCTACCATAGAGCATCACAAACAAAAATGATTGTCTGCATCACATTAAAGTTTATGGATGTAGATTCCAGGCAATTAATATTGCAAAGATATAATAATCTTTGTGGCTTGCTCATTCTTCTCCCAAGTTTGAACAGTTCATAATAAAGATTATACACATAAGCGTGTATAATTTTGTTGCACATATTGGCATGTACTCTGTGACAGTCCAACCTGAAAGTTTGCTTAATGATTATTCTATAGCAGCCAGGAAAAAAGAAGGAATCGCATAAAGGAAGATATTAAAAAGGAATTACTTGAACAAACAGGGCTTTTATTTTGAATAAAATACTTATTCAAGTAACTCCTTTCATCTTCCGTAGAATGAAAGTCTTCTATTGAATAAATTTTTTTATTCTGTAGAGTAAATTAAAAAATGCAATTAATTGTGCCCTTTCCAGCTTAGAAATCATTTGTCTATTAACAATTAAGGCAATATAGCTAGCAAAATACAACCCTAATAAAGAATCATGTGTCTTGTCATACATTTGGGATAGATTCTTGTGCAAGCATTTTCACAGTCTATAAAACCTTTTATGAACAGGAAACAAAGGCCCAGGAATTTCTCTCTTTACAAAATGGATATATATATTTTTTAATGTTATAGATTTCTATTGTATTAAATCAAGTATCAGATGAATAGGCCTTTTTTTATGGGCTTGATAATAAAAACAATGAAAAATTAAAAAGACCCAAACCCCACAGCTTCCATTGTATATTATATTAGCAAAATATAGTATAGTTTTTATGAAACTATGCTGTTTATATGATTTTAAAGTATTAAGGCAGGGCTCCACTTCAGACAATGATCTTAAGCTTGTTGATTGAACTGTAAAACTAGGTTGATTTTTTTTCTCTTTGTTAACAAGAGGTCAATATTTTGTGTTGGGTAGTATTAACAGTTAAGACAGAAATACCTGGATGATCAGAAAACAGCAATTCATGTTTGATTGACATGGGTGAAAATCATACTAGCAAAAATCAACACCATCTACTACAAAACCTGAAAGTGACTGCTTCAGTGAGCTAAAACATGTAATTCATACATGTCTCTGAATGAATTGTTTTTTTTTTAATTCTTTTATATTACTATTTGTCTGTCTATCTGCTTCTGGTAACACATATAAAGAGACTCTTAATTTGGATTAACTAAGTATCTCCCAAAACTGATGCATTTTCTAAACCTGCTCTAGATTTTTGTGGAACCAAGAGCCAGTTTGGTCTAGTGGTTAAAGCATCAGGCAAGAAACCAGGAGATTGTGAGTTCTAGTCTCACCTTTGGCATGAAAGTCAACATCTCTCTCAGCCCAGAATTGTTGTGGGGTAAATTGGAGGAGGAAGGTGCAGTGGATATGTTTGTTGCCTTGAGCCATTTATAAAGATAATAATAATGAATAACAATAAACCTCTCTGCAAGGAATATTCTCTTAAATCTCCTCACATAATATTGAATGTAGCTCATTGGATGTAACCCATAAGTATGCCTGTGTGTTTATCCAAGTCTTGATAGATCCAACTTGTTTCATCTCAGAAGCCAGTGAGTTCCATCATTAACTTTAGAATATAGTGGAGGAAATAATATTGCTGAATGCTATTTTTTTTAAAGTAGGCAACAAATGCACAGAGAAGCAACCTCACTGTGTGAAATATGACAACCATTCAGATACAAAAAGAAACAAGACACAAACTCCAGTAAACTTCTTTTGTTCCAAGCAACACGATTCCCATCCAAGCATATCCTTTCTTAAATGTACCAATCAGGCAATCCTCTATGGAAATAAGTACAAGTACTGAAATACAACCTTGATTGCAATACCAGACAAATAATTTAAATACTGCAGCTTTTGTTTTTTTTTGGGGGGGGGGGATCAGATCTATCTAATCCATGATGGGGCTTGAGATGCAAACTCTTGTAGACCTGGCTGATCCGTAAATAGTGTTGATAAATAATACCTGATAAAATAAAGAGGGTATTAGGCTGCCCTGTTGAATCCAGTTAAGATTTGCGTTAGGCTCCCTGAAAGCCGTATTTATGATTGCAAGTGCATCGTCGTTCAATCCTATGGTGTTTAAATCTGAAATGACCCCTTCTGCCTCAAAATAGATGGACTCCCAAGGAAGGATCTTCTTGATACAACTACTATTGACTGTTATTCTGATTCTCCTAAGCAATAACTTAGGTAAAGATTTAATTTTCAAGTTGTAAATTGTCTCGTTGTCTCTATATTTTTAAACGACAGCCAAAACCACACAGGGGATTCAAATGGGAAAAAAGTAGAATATAAATCTAAGAAAGAAACTCTTTGACAGAAGGGATCCCCCTTAGCAAATACTATCCCTAAAGATAAGCAGTACCGGCATTTCTATAACATCTTATAAACTATTCCAACCCATCAGATCATTTGTTCGATTCCCGATATTCCCTCTAAAGTTGGAATCGTGTATGCTGAGCCCATACTACATGCCTGACTTCATGCTAATATGGAAGGTAGGTGAAACAAACCACTTTGCATGCCAATGGGTCAGATCCAGAACCATTCTTATTTTAATAAATTCCTTACAACAACATGCCATAATTCTAATCATCTGTCAAAACCGCTCCTATTATTAGCCACCTGACTATTGAATATTTTCACATTGAGGTTATTTCTGGAGTTAAAAAGAACCGGCCCTCTTCCCCAGGCCACCTGAGAGGTCCCTACTTACGTGTTGAAGCCTCATTGCTTAGCAGAAGCAGCAGCAACAGGGGCCACAGCTGTGGGTGCCCCATGTTGAAAGGCAACCTTGGGGTTGCTCTGCTTCCTTCTGTTTCTCGTCCTCCAACAACAGAGTGAATTTGACTGTCCCTACTTGGACCTGCCTTTAAATACTCCCAGGCAAAGCAGCTGAGCCAAAGGGTTTAGAGCGTTCAGAGCAAATTGCAAAAGGTCCAAAGGTTATAGTCCTGCATCCTCTTTGCAACAGCCCCAGCGAGCTACTCTGAGCTGGTTCAGGCCATGCCAATGGGTGTTAGAAGGCACAGGGAAGCAGAATAGCCCTTTGAAATTGTACAGTCACGTCTTATCACTGACGGGGGAGATTTCATTGCAAGGGCTTGCAAAAAAAATATGCCTAGCTATGAAGCCAAAGGCGCCTATCACTTAGGGAGAAAATATATTCCGTGCGCTAGCTAAAAGCGCTGAATAGAAAACAATACCCAAAGGGTATCCTTTGATCCAGAGTACAACTATAAGTATAATCACCAACCAGTTCAGTTTGCCAAAGATCAGCCAGGTTGGCTTACTACCCCAAAGCATTTGGGACTTTCCAACTGTTAAGCAGATTCCATCTAGCTATTTATCACCTTATTTGGTTTTTTTAGAGGTTTTGGTCCCAGCTTTACTAGCCCCTCCTCTGGCTCCACCTTTCCCCTCCATTTCCTATGGGAACCTTGCACTGGATTTATCTGCAGGGGTATTAGCTAACAAGAGCACTCTTAAAAGACCCTTTTTACAGTGTGGCAAGAAAGTTTGTGTGCACCAGTAGTCCAGGCCAGGGAGGTAAATCCACCAAGTTCACCATTCTAAGAATTTATATCCTACTCTTCCTAGCAAAAATTGGAACCTAAGCAAACAGAATTCACAATAAAAAGAAGGGATGGTTTCTTGCTAAGCACCTAAAACTTTGCAAGCCGGGAAATTGGGATAGTTACGATACGATACGATACGATACGATACTTTTATTTGTATGCTGCCCTTTTCCCTGGGGGGACTCAGGGCGGCTCACAGTTCAGGGGGAGGGGAGGACAAACCAAGTTACATATAAGACAATACATCGTTA